AGCGGTGGCGCCCGCGAGGCCCAGGGTCCGCCCCTGCACCGAGAAAGAACAAAGCACGGCCTTGGCCCTGAAAGACGTGCGCGTCCCCAGCCTCTGCAAACCGAAGGCTGCGCCTTTGGAGAAAGTTGCCTTCTATGTCTTTGTCGCATCGTGATTCCACCCACCAGTCCCTCTCCCAGGGCCAGGTACCCCGGAAACCTGGGAGGTGGGAATTGGGAGGCGTCGGACCCCAGGAGTCCTCAGCCATGGAGTTGTTTTTACTATAAATTCTGAAGCAGCCTCTATTTTATTTTTGTATTTAAAGCTGAAAGTTTCCTGAGCATGTCTTCTTCCCAGATCATTTCATTTATTTGTTTATTGCCAGGGCCTTCACTCCGAGCTGCATTCCCCACCCCTTTTAGAAATATTTTTATTTTGAAACAAGGTCTTGATAAGAGTGAAGACTGGACTCAAACTCCTCCGCCTCAGCCTCCCAGTGTGCTGGGATCACACACGTGTGCTGCCATGCCGGCCAGGAAGATCACTCCCGCAGCAGATAGGAGAGTGAGGCAGGAGACCGGAGAGATGAATGTGAGCTTTCAGGAGTAGGAGACAAACGATGTTGTAAGGAGGCTGCTGCATTAGGACGCAGAGTAAGGAAGGGAGTTCTGCCTGACTCGGCCTCCCTGGCCCACACCCAGGGGCCAGAGGAGGGTTCACACAAAGGTGGGCACAGCCCAGCTGAGCAGGCTCCCCTTGGGCTGGGTGGCTCCTCTCTGCTGCCTCCGAGACTCCTGGAGAAGAGGGAGGCAGCCTGGGCGTCTGTGCTCTCCCCACCTCGGGGGCCAGGGCTTCCGCCCACCGCCTGTTTACCTGTCACTGCCCCAGGTTCTGGCTCCGTGGCCTTTCCTTCCCATCCTGGAGGCCACAGGAACCAGTCTTGTTCAGTGGACAAGGGGAGAGTGGGGTGGGGGTTTCACTACGTTTTCTGTTAAACCAGCGCTGACATTCCCCCATTTCCTAAAAGCCTAAACTGAAGACAATAAACAGCTTGCCTTGGATCAGATTCTGCAAACAGTCGTTCACCTTGTGGATCTGGGCTAACTGGAGGCCGCAGGGCTCTGGGCATGAATCTGTTAGGAAATTCTAGCTGACCACCCCTCTACCTGGCCCCAGCCCCAGCCCCAGCTGACCCTGCAGTTCCCTGTCCTTAATGGGCCTCCCTACTCTCCGCGGATGATCCCGGTCTGTTCATCCATCTGAATGGCCTCCTCCTGCCAAGTGAGCACCAGTCTAGTGCTGGCAGCCTCCCTTCAGTTCCACTGTTGCCACCCATCTCCCCTCCGTCCGCACAGGGCCAGCCCCCACCCCTCTCAGGGCCCCCAGACGCAGCTGCTGAAGCTGAGCCTCCCTCAGAAAGTCTGGGAACCGGGCCTGGTTGCGCTCCAGCAGCTCCAGCCCCTGCCACAGGGTGTCCTGCTGTCTCTCCAGGGGCTGCATCCTCTGCATTGCCGGAGCAGGAGGCAGAGGTGACTGTCCCAGGGCCTTGGCTGAGTTCCCCGGCTGGTCACTGTGAGCCCAGACTCGCCCCTGAGGCCCTGGAGGGCACGGGGAGGTGGCAAAGACTCGGTCCTCCAGTTCAGCGGAAGCACAGGGCAGACCTAGGGGAGCGGGCTTCCCCGAGACCTCTTGCTGGCCTGATACCCAAAGGAAGGAGCTCTGGGCCACTGGGTCTTGGCGGCTTGTCCCCAGCAGCAGAACTCTAGGGAGCCTGTGCCAGGGGTGACCCCCGAGGCTCTGAGGTGGGGAGGGTGGAGCGCAGGGCTGGCCCTTCCCAGGGTCTGAGGCTGGGGTGTCCCTGCTGAAGAGTCCCTCTGCCCTTTCATCTGATTCCTAGGGCCTTCCCGAGGGTCTCCCTGGGTAGTGTCACTGTTTTTTTTTGTTTTTTGGTACCAGGGATGGAACTCGGGACCTTGCACTTGTGAGGCAGGTGGTGGAAGTGTCACTGTTCTCTGTTGTCTGTCTGCAGTAGTGGGGACCAAACCCAGGGCCTGGTGCATGCCAAGCAAGCACTCTGGGCTTAGCCCCCTCCAGCCTGCCCTGTAGGCTTCCACTTGGGATTTCAGTGCATCCGATCCCCTGTTCTGTTTTGGGTGGCCTAGGGAAACATTAGCTATCCAAAATAGGCTTTATTCCTAATAATAAGCCAAACTTTGGGTCTGAGGGGGTTGAAGGGGATAAGGACACCAAATGGGCACGGAGCCCCTGGGGTCTCAGCGCTGGAGGGCAGAGGAAGGACTCAGAGGATAGTGGTGGCAGCAGGCAGAACTTCCTGGCTCATGAAAATGTCCAAGTCCAGGCTGGGATCTTCCAAATCCAGCCGCAGAAACTTATCCACCAGTGTTTGACACCTGAGGGGGAGACTTGAGTCTCAGCACAGGGAGAGGCCATGGCCCAGGCTAGACCCTGGCCTGAAGATTCAGGGATTTCAGAGAGAAGCAGTGGGTGCGGGAGGGCACAGGGTGGAGCCCTGTGGGGGAGAAGCCTTAGCAGAAAGGCCAGAGCGGGGCAGGACACTGGCCACACTTACTTTTCCATCTGGTTCTGCTTCTGCAGCTCCTTGACAGGTTTGATGGGTTTTCCACTGCGGATTAAGTCCGAAACCTAGGAACAAGATGGAAGATACAGGGGTGGGAAGGGTTGGGGAGAAGTCAGGGTCAAAGATCATGTGTACCCAGAAACCCAGGTGCCTGAGCGGTGCCTGGATGGGAGGAGGGCATCACCTCTTTGGCACGGGCAGTGAGTCTGTCAGGAAGCCCAGCCTGGGTAGCTGTGTGGGAGGCATGGCTGGCACCGGCAACGCCTTCGCAGACCTGATAGAAGAAGACAAGGTCGTCCCCCTCCTCACAGGTCTCCATGGCCTCAGAAGAGAACAGAAGGGAGCCGTGTGTCATCGCCCTGCTTCCGGCCCTGGCGTCCCGGGCCAGTCCCTGGGAACCAAGGGGAGGGGAGGGACGCGGTCCCTGCGCGGGGCCTTCCTGCTCATGAAGGAGATGCCCCCACCTCTGGGAAACACTGGCCCTGGCTCCCAGGGGCCACCTTGGTTTCCTCACCAGATACTGCACCAGAGGCCCCTGGGGCAGCAGCTGTAGCTGAACAAGGCTCAGGAAGTTGGTGGCCACAAAGATGTGGGGGCAGGTCGGTCCCAGTGCCAGCCAGTGTCGGATCACGGCAGCCAGAAGCGCGAGCCCGTCCACCTGCACGGGAGGGCGGGTGCAGAGCCCCCATGTCCATGCGCCGCACACCCTCCTCTCAGGCTCCTCTGTCCTCCTCCACTGCCCCTTAGCACTCAGCAGGGTCTCCCCTCACCGTGTTGGTTCCCTTTCCGAATTCGTCAATAAGGACCAGCGACTGCTTGGTGGCATTGTTCACTGCTTTCGCCACCTGCGGACAGGAGGCAGACGATCACTGCCCCGGCTGCTGCGGCGCCCGCACCCTGTGGGGCTTCCAGTTCTCACTCCCTCGCACAAAGCGAAGGTCTGCAAACTGTTTACGGCAGCGATTCCTCTGCCTCTGCCCGGTGCTCCCTGACCCGAGTACAGAGGGCACGTGCAGACCCAAGCGGAGCATCTCGCTGACCCCACCTCCCTCTGCGTCCTCTGACCTGGTTGAGGTCTATCATGAAGGTGGAGAGGCCCAAAGAGATGGACTCGCAGCTGTGAATTCGGGTGAAGATGGCATCTACTGCTCCAATTTCGGCCTCTTCCGCCGGCACAAAGCTGCCCACCAGGGCCATGAATGTGATCAAGCCCACCTGGATGAGGAGGAGACAGACCTGGGACTGGGTGGTGTGGGCTGAGGGAACGGTGAGGCTCCAGTGAGGGCACGAATGGCAGATCAAAGGGCAACTGCAGAAAGTACAGAACGCACTGTCTCCTTCCAAGAGGGCGGGAGTGGGCAGAGGCAGGCTTGGGAATGTCTCCCTGCCTACTCAGAGGTGGGTGGAGTTCAGGCCATGGAAACAAAGATCCACGAGCCCATCTCCCATAGGCAGACAAGCACGGGAAAGGCGGAAGAACGGTCCTGGACTGGCTGACGGGGAGAGGTGGAGAAGATGGGGAAGATGCCAGGGCCCTGGCGGAGGGCTTCTCACCTGCTTAAGATATATGCTCTTCCCTGAGGAGTTGGGTCCGGTGATGACTTTGACTCTCCCTGTGTCCCCACTGCACTCGGCAGAGTTGGGCACGAAGGCTCTGGTGCACAGCTCCATCAGAGGGTGTCTGCAGGGGTGGAGAGCACTGCCCTTGGCCTGTGGCTCCAGATGGATGATGGGGCCTTGGCCACCTGTCTCTCACCAAGCTCCTGTGTCCTCACCTCCCATTCTGGATTCGCACGCCATGGAGTTGGGGGCAATAGCGGGGCCTGGAATAGCCATAGTCCCGGGCAGCGCTGGCGAGAGCCAGCAGGACGTCCAGTCGGGAGGCCAGGTCCAACACTTGGGTCAAGACAGCTGCCCTCGCCAGCACCTGGCACTGCAGCTGGTGCATCAGCAGGGTCTCCTGGTCTGGGGCCGGGAAGCAGAGAGTCAGGCGCCCACAGAGACAGCGTACAGGCGCAGGCTGAGTCCCAGCCCCATCACCCCCACTGCTCCCCCAGCTCTGGCTCCTCTCACCCCGGATCTCACAGTGCAGGTCCCCCAGCAGTGCGTCCAGCTCCTTGGTCCGAGTGCTGCGATAGTGCAGCTTCTCCTCTGAGAGAAACTGGGAACAAGGGTCCAAAGCTGTGGGCTTCACAACTCTTGGTCCTCCTCTCCCCTCAGGCCTTTTTAACCCCACCTCCCACGCCCACCTTTTCTCCTCTGTCACAGACTGGTAAAGCTCAAAGTGAAACTGCAGCAGAGAGCTCCATATTGGGTCGGGCTGATGGCATAAGCTCCTCCCTGAGCCACTGTTTCATGTTCTTTATGACCCCAGCAGTCAAGGGTCCTTACCATGAAGTCCAGTCCCTCAATCTCAAAGTCACTGGCCTCCACCATGAAGGGCAAACGGGGAATAGAAAGAAGGAAGCCAATCTAGCAGAATAAAGATGTGGAAAAGTAGAGTTACCTACGAGGCACTTTCCTTAAGAGAAGGAGTCTCCCAGAGACCTCTGAACAAATCCCCCATGCCTCTAAGAATGCTGGTGGCTGAGCATAGTGGAGCACGCCTGGCATTTGGGAGGCTGAGGCAGGAGAATGGCCACAAGTTCAAGGGCAGCCTGAGTTTCATAGCAAGTATCAACAAAACAAAACAAAACAAAAGACCCCTAGAGGGTATATCCACCCCCTGCCCACACCAGAGGGATGTAGATGACACTGCATGAAGGAATACGAGCGTCCAGATTCTCCAGCTCCTTCCGAGCAACTTCAGTGAGGAAACTGGGGAGACCCATCAGTCTTCGTTTTTCTAGGAGTGTGGAAGACACACGGATATCAAAAGTAAGGCCGCTGCCTGGTTATTATGATGACTCCCTGCTGAACATGGTACCCCCAAGCAGGCAGGTTTGTGTTTGGGGCTCACACCTCATCCCCACACCTCACTCACTCTCATCAATTTGGGGATCAATGTTGGGGAGGACGGTGAAGCGATTCTCAGCAAGGCTGCCCTCAAAGTCCACCTGGGGAGACAGACAGTACGTCTGTCTTCAGCACTCTGTCCTCAGCTCTCCGCAGGCCCGTTCCTCCTGCATCTCTGCTTTAACCCCAGCCTTCTTCTAACCATCCCTTCTTGAGTCTCCCAGGCTTCCCCACCCCCACATCCACACCCCCAAGCCATGTCCCTCTCGTCCTGGAAGCTCAGACTTTCCCTGCCTGGCTCCCTCACTCACCACTTTCCCAATGAGACTGGCGATGTGGTACAGGTCATCGGAGAACTCCTGGGCAATGGCCCGGAAGAGCCAGATGGACTGGGGCAGGGAGCGGCATGCGTCCCTCAGGCCCAGGGCACTGTACACAGTCTGCAGGAGAAAGGCACCGCGGAGAATGAGGGGACAGGGACAGGAGGAGAAGGCAGAGACACAGGCAAAAACAGTAACAAAGACAGAGAAGATCACAAAGGCAAAAAGAAATGGTGGGAGTGAAAATGGCATCTGTAAAACTCCACCAGGTGCCATTCTACATACTGCGGCTACAAAGAGCGAAGATTCAGTCCCTGTCTCAGATGAGCTGGTCTGATGAGGACAGAAGCACATGTAGAAGATTTTAAAAGAAAGCAATAAGAGCTTTTTTTTTTTTTTTTTTTTTTTTTTTTTAACTGAGGAATGAACCCAGGGCCATCCCCAGCTCTTTCCTTTTCCCTTTTCCTTTATTTTTTGGAGACAGGTTCTAAGTTGCCCAGGCTGAGCTTGAACTTAAATTATTCTGCCTCTGCCTCCCACAGTGCTGGAATTATCTGTATACCCCCACACCTGGCTGGTAGGCCACTTGATAGTGTTTTGTTACAAATTCCCGTAAGAGGGCCAGAATGTAGTGGGGCAGTGGTAGAGCATTTGCCTACCATGTATGAGGCCCTGGATTCCATCCCCAGTGCTGCAAAACATAAAGAAGGAAAAGAAAGGGAGGCCGGGCATGGTGGCACAGGAGCTATTTTCTTCCTCCTTTTCTCCAATAAAACTTTCCTAACCTAAACAACAACAAATACCTTACAAAAGAAAGAACCCAAATCAATCCAATTAGAAATGAAAAAGGCTAAATTATGACATTCACTACCAAAAATCCAGAAGATTATTAGTAATTACTACAAAAATCTGTACTCTAATAAATTGGAGAATTCAGAAAAAAATACATTCCTGGATATGAATTACCAAAACTGAACCAAGAAGATATAAAAACATCACATAATTCAATAACAGGCAATGAAATTCAAGCAGTAGTGAAAAACCTACCAAGTCCAGGACCTGATGGGTTCATCACTGAATTCTACTAGAACTTCAGAGAAAAATCAGACACCAATACCCACTCAAACCACTCCTGGAACTCACAGCGATCCTCCTGCCTCACTGAGCCTCTCAAGTGCTGGGATCACAGGTGTGCACCACCATGCCCAGCCAATCTCCTTAATGAATGTGAAAGGGAGAAGTACTCCCAAAGTCACTTGTGGAAACTAGCATTACCCTGATTCTAAAACCAGACTAGGATTCAACCAAAAAACAGGCTAATCTCTATAATAAACATAGATAGAAAAACCCTCAACAAGATATTGCCAAAAAGAAGGCAAGAAACCACCAAAAAGATCATGTAGGCTTCATCTCAGGGATGCAAGGATAATTCAACACACACAAATCAATGAATGTAATGCAGCATATACACAGAAGCAAGGAAAAAATAACATGATCACCTCAACAGGTGCAGAAAAAGCCTTTGACAAAATTCAACACCTATCCATGATTTTAAAAAACCTAAAGAAAATAGGTATAGAAGGATCTTATCTCAATCTGATAAACCCATTTACAACAACCTACTGCCAACATCATATTAAATGGGGGGAAAAAACAACATATTAAATGAGGAAAACAAAGTGTTCCCTCTAAAACCAGTAACATAAGAAGGATGTCCACTATTACCATTCCTGTTCAATACAATACTTGAAACGTTAGCCAGAGCAATCAGGCAAGAGAAAGAAATAAAAGGGATATGTATAGGAAAGGAAGAGGTCAGTTTATCATTATTTGCAGATGAGATGATCTTCTACATAGAAGACCCCAAATATTCCAACAAAAGATCCTAGAATTAGTAACAAAATTCAGTAGTGTAGCAGGATACAAAATCAACACATAAAAATCAATAGCATTTGTGTACACTAATAGTGAACTCACTGAGAAAAATTAGGAAAACAATACCATTCTTCACAGCACCAAGAAAAATTAAATACTAAGGAATTAACCTAACGTAGGAAGTGCACACTAGGCAAACACTCTACCACAGAGCCAAACCTACAGCTCCACCATTCTTTCTAAAAATAATTTTTGAAGTAGTAATACTATTTGTGGATAAATGATATAATGGCTGGGATTTATTTCAAAATAATCCAAAGGATGCAATAAAATTGGCATGAGTCAGTGTTGAAGCTGCATGATGGGTCCAAGGGGCTACTTCATTATGAGACAGGGTCTTTTTTCTTAGTACCAGGGATCAAACTCTGGACCTTGTGCTCATGAGGCAGGTAGCGGCATCACTGAGCTAAATCCTAGGCCAGGGGCTAGTTTATTATTCTCTCTAAATATTTTTGACATTTTCCACAATACACTGTTTTTTAAACTGGTGGGTTAAGGATGGACAGGGTGACCAAAGAAAAGAAGTTCTCAGACACAGGCTAAATGGCTTTAGACTTCTGGGCTTCAAGAATGGAGGGCTAGGGCTGGGGATTTAGCTCAGTGGTTCCACTGCCTGCCTTGTACACACAAGGACCCGAATTCAATCCCTGGTACAAAAAAAAAAACGAGTGAAGGGCTTACCTTATAGAGAATCTGCCAGTCACTGACCTTGGTATGGGACAACTTCATGCGTTTCAGAATTAGCTGCAGTGAGCAAAGGGGACAGACACTGTCTTCCCTCTTCTACTGAATGCCCCTCACAAATCTAATGTCCAGTATTGACCCTCAACTTCCTTCCCTCCACCCTGGGCTTACAGGCACGTTCTTGATGTGACTCATGAGACGATGCAGCATATGAGCTATGTCCAGATTCTGGGGCAGCAGAAAAAATTCAATGACATCCAGACGGGAATTGAGTTCCTCCAGGTCCTGAGTCGGTCGTGTAAACCACAGCCTGAAAGTGAGGGTGGGGGTGGGGGACTAGAAATTACATCTGTTCTCATGATTCACTTGATTTCACTGCCAGAATGCGTTTGGCAATCCCTGGGGACCATAGCAGTTTGTACCTGTGACATGCTACAGAGTAGTGTCTTCCCAGTGTGGGTATGTTTCTGTCTCTACAGAAAATCGCTGGATGTGAGCATGTGTGTGTCTGTGTATCATGGTTTTGATGGATGAGACCATGTGTCACTCCATGTGGCTATGTGACAGAGCCTGTCAATATTTGAGAGGGAGAGCAGTGTGTTGCAGTATTTGTGGGCCAACACTTCAGTGCTCTCTGGGGCAGAGTAAGAGACGGTGAATCAGTATGAGTTTGCACATCTATATTTAGCTCTGAAAGTATCTCTGGGTAGCAGCCATCTGTTTTTCCATGTTCTTCCTGTGAGAGTGTAACGGTCCCCCATGGAATGATAAGGCTGCACTTCATAGTAGCTATGACCTCTGCAAAGAAGAAAGTGTCAGCAGGGACATTTTAGGGGCTTCAACAAGGGTCTCTTATTCTGGAATTTTTTTCCTCAGTACTGGAGATTAAACTGAAGGCTTTCATATTGAGCTAATTCTCCCAGTCCTTTTATTTTTTTGGTACCAGAGTTTGAATATAGGACCTTGTGCTTGCAAGGTAGGCACGGGCAACACTGAGCTAAATCCCCAGTCCTCGAGCATATGTATTTTATACTACAATGTATTGCCATTTTCCCTGAGAAAATTTCAAATTGGAATGGAACAAACAACCTAGATGGATTTAAGGATGTGTTCTAGGTACTTCTACTCCACTCTCGGTCAGGGAGAGCTTCAGTCATGGCAATGCAGGCCATAGTCTATGAATACCTGTACCACTTTGGAGAGTACACAAGCCTCACTAAGCAGACTTTCTCAAGACACCTACATCTGACTCACGTTCTACCAGTACCTTGGGGGCCCTCAGTCAAGCCCAATTCCCTAATTTCATAGCTGAGGAAACAAGGCCCTTAATGGATAAGCAGCCTGTCCAGAGTCAGACTGCTAATGAGAAACTCAGGTTTCCAAAGTGCCAGGATAGTGCCTGTGACATTCAGTCACTTCGGGACTGTGTCCAACTTAGACCAGCAGGGTCCTTAGTTCAACATTCAGGTCATGATTCTATGGGAATCCTATCTGGGAAATCTACACTCCTCCCCCAACATTAACCCAGTTCTCCCGTGAGAATTTCTTTCCTTTTATACCTGGTTGAGATTAGAGATCTACACTTAAAGCACTGGAGAATGTGTAATTAAATTACCCCGCCAGTTGCCTGGAGATGACCTCAGAGATTATCCTACATCAGCCCTAGAAGGTAAGTATTGCAGGAGGTGAGGAGGGAAAGGCGTGTGCACCTGTATGCTAGCAAAGACACTTAGAGGCAATGTGACTGGTATGCTTGTATCTGGATACTGTGTTCACCCAGAATGCTGCTACTACATACAAGGGCCCGAGTCCGGCGCTGAGGTACAAGGAATGGCCACTGGGCAGACTTCACAGCTACAAAAGCAAGCAGATTAAGTGACTGCTACTTCTAATATGGAGTGACAGTGCAAGTGAAAAGCATAAACAAGCACCATGTAAGCACAAAGAAGGTCTGAGTCAGTCTCCTGACAGGTACCTATGAAAACTCAGTCAAAGAAGTGACAGCTGGTTTGCACTTTGAAGAAGATATAAGCCTCTCTGACGGGGCAAGAACGGGAGACAAGACCTTCAAGAGAGAAGAGTAGAAACACAGGCAAGATGTATTTCCGTAAGGGCAAGTGGCCCTAAAGGACGAGTGTGCAGGAAGGATCCAACAGGAGACAACGTAGAGGAGTTTAGGAAGGTGAGCCTACGAAGGAAAACTGAGAATGGGAGGGAGCCTGAACGTCACACGCAGCATCACACTGTGAGAGATGCCAATCTTCATCCAGCAGGAACGGGAAGGCTTCCTGCTACTCTGCTCCTGCTCAAGGTTTCTAACAGGGCTGTGGCATGCTCAGATCTCTGTGCTGGAATGGCAGCATTTTATTTTATTATTATTTTTTGGTACCAGGGATCAAACTCAGGACCTTGGGCTTGCAAGGCAGGTGGCAGAACCACTGCGCTAAATCCCTGACCCCAAGCAGCATTAACTGATAAAGGGAGGCCATGTGTGTTGGTGCACACCTGTAATCTCAATGCTCTAGGAGGCTGAAGCAGAAAGATCACAAATGCAAGCCCATCCTGGGCAACTTAGCAACATAGGGAGAACTCTCAAAATAAAAAAGCACTGGGGATATAGTTCATTGTGATGGCCTGGGGTTCAATTCCCAGTAGCAGGGGTGTAGAGGTGGTCGAGGCAGACCAGTTAAGAGGCAAATGCAATGCTGCAGATTAAAAATGATGATAGCTGGGCAGGGGATTTAGCTCAGTAGAGCCACCGTCTGCCTCACAAGCACAAGGTCCTGAGTTTGATCTCCACATCAAAAAACAAAACCAACAACAAAGTCATGATAGCTAGCTCAGTGTATAGTTCATAGTGCACCTGCCTAGAATGTGCAAGGCCCTGGATTTGATCCAGAGAGAGAGCATAATTTTGAGAATGATTTCTGGACCTGATGGCATATTCCTATAATGCCAGAATTCAGGAGGCTGAGACAGGATTGTTGAGTTGGAGGCCGGCCTGGGCTACACCGTGACCCCTTATATCAAAGAGAGAGAGAAACAGAGAGACAGATACAGAGAGAACGATAGAGCAGTGGAAAGAGGGAAAGAGGATGACAGAGACGTACGTTTCAGCATACAATCAGCAGGCTGTGTGTTGAATAACTAAGCAGAGTTGACAGAGAAGCATCAGTCCAAGCAAGGTTCACAGCTTGAGATGCTCCACTGCTGACAATGCCATTAACCAGGAGGGGGAAAAAAAAAAAGACTGCAGAAAGAGGAGCAGGTCCCGTGGGCATCAATTCAGATGCTCTGAGTTCGAGGTGCCTGTGGAAATTATGGGCGGCAGTGGTTTGCAGTTAGCGTTCCACATGTGGAGTTTAGAACCACGCAGGCAAATTTGGGAATCACTCAGAGAACAGCTCAAATTTGAGTTTTGGTTTCTTTCCTTGGATCAAGGATGGAGGAGCCCAGGGCTTCACACACACTGGGCAAGGCATTTACCACAGAGATACAACCCTAGAGCACCCTGGTCTGCGCGTGTGTGTGTGTGTGTGTGTGTGTGGTGGTGGTGGTTTTGTTTGTTCATTTTTGTTTTTGTTTTTTGGTACTAGGGATTGAACTCGGGACTTTTACACTGAGCTAATCCCCAGATGTTTACTTTTTAAAAAACTTTAAAAAAATTTTTTTGAGACAGGGTCTTACTAAATTGCTAAATTCCCCAGACTGGGTGTATCCTCCTGCCTCAACATCCCAGAGTGCTGGGATCATAGGTGTGAAACACCACACCTGATTTAAGTGTGTTTTTTAAATTAAAGATATGGCCCTGTGTTTTATTAGTGTTTTGTGGTGATATTTCTGCTTTGTTTGTTTGTAGATAGGGTTTTGCTATGTAGTTCAAACTGGCCTTGAACTCACTACTGTAGTCCAGGCTGACCTTGTGGCAATCCTCCTGCCTCAGCCTCCTGAGTGGTAGGATTAGAGGCGTGCACCATCACAGCTGGCTCTGCTGCTCTTATGTATGCGAGTCTGTGTATCAGCAATGGGTATATGTGTATCTGTGCTGATAACATAAAATATGGATAACATGGGCTATATAAGGATTACATGCATTTAGCCAGTACTCAGTAGAGAAGTTTTACTACTACCACTGGATTGTCTGCTATGTGTGAGTCTGCAGACTAATAGTAGGCATTAGTGAGTAACATATGCATGTGACAGGCACCAGTGTACAGCCCGTGTCTGAGACCCACTCACCGAAGCAGCTTCTCTCCCCACTTACAGCGGCACCTGTTGAGGATTCCTGTGGGGGTGTGAACAAGAAGTGAGCTCCTATGAGGAAGGCTGACCTGAGGGCCCAGACACAGGACACAGAGGCAACCAAAGCAGGTGTCTGGCCACAAATCTAGGCCACAGCTACTGCACATGGAGAAGCGGGGAAGGATGAACCCTCACAGGAACACAAAGAAAAATACACAAAGCAGGCCTAGCTAAGTCTCACAGAGGGCCCAACATAGGGATGCAAAAATTAGACCCAACCCACTGAGATAATGCAGGTATTTGGGGTTATGTCCCTAACCCGAAGCCAGAGACACCCAATAAAGATTCTATAGGGATCAAACAGGCAGTTACAGCAGTTATGTGGCTCTCTACTGTTTGTGCTTAACAGGGCCCCATCTAGTAGAAACATCCACACACAGGGAATGAATCATGCTGACAGGCAGACAGCACTGTACAAGGTGTGGGGAGAAGGCCAAGGTCAGACCTGGACAAAGACAAGGAAGATGGACTCTCAAGGAAGAGACACAACGTAGGAGAGAAGCGGGTAGAGGGGCCGGGACACATCTCTGGAGACAACTGCTGTTCTGGCAGGGTTTCAGTGTACGGTGAGGGACAGGGAATACCTACCGAAGAGGCTGAGCCCCTCCTTCAGTCCACTGGCCACTTTGTACACTGAAGGATGAGACTCGCTCTTAAATATCTGCAGAACACTGTCAGGGAGAAATGGAGAAGTATGGAATAACTTGGATTTTTTAAAGCAATAGAAAATGACTGAGAAAACAGAAGGAAGACTGGGAACATCCTCCTGAGATCAAGTCTTGGTGTAAGGTTCACGGCTCACTCTTCTACGCCTCAGTTTCTCCCTAAAAAAAAAAAAAAAAAAAAAAAAGGAAAAAGAGAAAGGCATGGAGGAAAGGTGACACCTTTGTACTTTTTTTCCTTACCCCTCACTGCCCTTCTTCTCTTTCCTTCATGGAGAGAGAACTTAACCCTAGCATTATGGAAACTATAATCTCATTCAGATTATTAGAGAATTAAACTTAATCCGCTCTTGCTGGAGACAGCAACCTGCCTCTGCCTCCTCACCTGTAAGTGTCTTGATCTATGCTCACAAGATGCGTCCTGAGGACAGAAAACAAGGGAGCTGTCTGGGGTGTGAAGGGTCTGGGTTCATTACAAAGCTCTACCTGTTTCGCCCTCCTTTCAGATTATCACCTCAGTCTTCTCCAGACTCCACAACCTCTCAATCTCCCGGGTCCCAGGGCGCTTCTCCCACTGGATCACTGCCTCCGACACCCAGCCCTGGCTTACATTTTAGGCCTCCCAATCCCACTTTACTTGGGTCAACATTAGGCTGAATCACCTACAACACAAATTTTTTAAAGCCCAGGATAGGGACGTTGACATTATAGTCTTCCAGTTCAACTCCGATTCTTCTTCGACCCAGGAACTTGAGCAGCCCTCCAAGTGCCCGAACCTAGGGGGATCAGCAGTGGAATTGGGGTAAATGCTAATATCCCAGAGGCTGGACAACACCAGGAAAAACTATTTCCCAGGGCAAGGCTAGTACCTTCCACACTCAACCCAGGACTGGAGTGTCTGTGCCTTCCTCAAGGCTGCACTCCAACCTTTAAGCCCAGGACCCAGCTCACTGTGAGGAGGCAGCTGAAGGGAATGATGGAGGAAAGGAAGAGGATTTTCTCAGTGGCTGTCATAGACTCTGGGATGAAGGCATAGTTTCCAGAAAGGAGGCGCTGCTTGCTTATCTCCAGACCTATTTTGGGGAGGAAGAGGTAGGAAAGGTCTTGTTCTCCAATTTTTTCACCCCATTAAGAATAAGGCAATAAGGGACAGATATTTAGCTCAGTGGTACCATGCCTGCCTCACAAGTACAAGGTCCTAAGTTTGATCCCCAGTTCAAAAAAAAAAAAGAGTACGGCAATAAAAGAAAGAGAGAGAGATGACTTGACTTGCTCAACCCTGCACAGGCAGTAAATGGAAAGCTGAAGCAAGAACCAAAAATCTTGCCGGGCATGGTGGCACAGGCCTGTAATCCCAGCACTTGGGAGGCTGAGGCAGGAGGATCGCTGTGAGTTTGAGACCAGCCTGGGCTACATAGTGAGTTCCAGGTCAGTCGTAACTACCTAGTGAGACCCTAGCTCAAAAAAACAAAAACAAAGTTGCCAGGGATTTAGCTCAGTGGTTCTGCTGCCTGACTGCTAAGCACAATGTCCCAGGTTTAATCCCCGGTACAAAAAAACCCAAAAAAACAAAAGGCACAGCACCCCCACACCTGGCTTTTTTTGGTTTAACTTTTTTTTTTAAGCAACAAATAACTTTGGCTTATAGGGGGAAATTTCAACAATAAAAGCTGTTCAAAATGTCATTACTGGCCGGGCGTGGTGGCACAAGCCTGTAATCCCAGCAATCCAGAGGCTGAGGCAGGAGGATCACTGAATTCAAACCAGCCCGGGCTACATAATGAGTTCCAGGTCAGTCTCAACTACATAGTGAAATCCTGTCTCAAAAAAGAAAAGAAAAAGAAAAAAATGTCATTACTTCCTCCTTTCACAGGTGACCCTCACCACTAGACAAGTCTAACCAAAGGCTTCACAGTAATTTGCAGATTATTAAGGGAGCGGGAGCAGGAGAAATCTTGGGGAGATCAGTCATGGAGCATGGAGAACACATTTAGGATAATGTAAGACTGAGGGGAGATCTCTGCTAATGGGGTGGAGTAAGGAGAAAGGGTGGAGACTCTGGGATAGAAAATTGTAAAGCAAAAGGAATGAGATACCAAAATCCACACTTGGCAAAAATATGATTTCAGGTTTCTTTGGCTCTCTATGTTCCTGGGAGGCTGTGTGGGAAGAAAAGAAAAAAGACCATCATTCTGTACCTCCCAGTCCTTCCACCTCTGTCCCAACCTTCCTACCACCCAGTTCTAGCCTTCTAGAACAATTCTATGTCTTAGTCCTTTTCCACTTTCCTTCTTTCAGACCCAGTTCTTACCAAGGTTCCCTAGAAAATGAGTCATATTCTCATCCTGTTTGGCACTTGTAACAACAGAACAGGGATTGATTTCATCCAAAACTTGGAAAAAGGAGAGAGACCAAATTAGTTTAAGGATTTTTTTTTTTTTTTTTTTTGAGACAGGGTCTCACTATGTAGTTCAGACTGCCCTGGAACTCATTATGTAGCCCAGGCTGGTCTCAAACTCACATCCTCCTGCCTCAGCCTCCCGAGTGCTGGGATTACAAGTGTGTACCACCACACCCAATGAGTTTAAGATCTTTATCAATGGACTAAAGAAACTCACAGTACTTTCCTTGCTACTATCTCTCCCTCTCAAGAATTTAAGAATTTACTCTAAGAGTCAGGAGGGATCACATACTGGAAGTATAATTAAAAGTGAGGAATGTGATTTAGAAAAAAAAATTAAGATATTCCTGTCAGAGTGGTAGGAGAAGGGTGCCCTGAAGATTGTCACTAGACTATAAACCCCTGAAGGAATGATTTTCCCAGGACTATATCTGCTTCCCTTAATACATTGAAAACACCTAAAAAATATTTATTGAGTAATGAAGTGAATTCTAAAAATCAACACAGGGAGTCTCTGGTAGTCAGCTATGAGATAGATTAAGTCAGGTGAGAACATATGGGTGAAACACACTTCCAGGCCCTCCTCGGGCTCTGTCCCCACCTCTCTGGAGGAGCCTGAGGCTCTCACTGTCTGGGGTATCTGGCATGAAGTGGATGGTGGAGTCACTGGTGTCATAGTAGGCGATGCCCAGGTGTCCCGAATTCCACAGCACGCACAGATGGATCTGTCCAGCGAGGAAGACACCTCTTGTCTGCACCCCTCCTGGCTTAGCTGTCAACCATTCCCTCATTTGGCAGGCTGAGGCCGGCACTGGGAACAGCCCCCGCCCACCCGCTTTCGGGGCGTCACTCCCTGCGCCCCGCTCAGGGAGACCTCAGCCGGCTCCTCGCCTTCGTCCTCGGCTTCCTCTGGGTCCGGCGCGGGGTCCAGGCTGGGGAGGCCGGCAGGGGCCGCCCTGGGTCCCAGTCCCTGAGGGGTGGCACAGGGGGTCGCAGCACAGGAGGCCATGTGCTTGGCGGCTCTGTGGGTGCACAACGTGAAGGGGATCAGAAGCGACACTTCACTCACAACACAAACCCACGGGGACTTCTGAGAGGGGCGTGGAGCGCTGTGGGGGCAGGACGGGCCGCTCGGAGTGGACTTCTCAGTTATTTTACTAAAGCGCTCTGGGAAACTCCCCGCGGGCCACTCTCATTTCCGTCACGCGGAAGTCTGAAGGCCACGCGGGTTGAGACGGGCACGACTAACCTCTCTGCTTTTGCCCAGCACACTTCCCTTCACAGCCTCACGCTCTTGTCCCCTCACCCAATACTGCCGCCAACTCGCGGTGTTTTCCCGCCTTTTTCGTCAGCGGGGTCGCAAGCAGCCAGCGACCGTCTCACCGACTAGACGCCTAAACCTGAGGGAAGTGCGGCCGACGCAAGGGGCGGGGGGCAGTGCGTGCGCGCTCCAGAGCTCTAATAGGGCGAGAAGGCGTGGACCGAAGTCGTAGAAGAGTCTGGGTGCTGATTGGTCCGTTTGCATTAGGGGGCGGCTCCATAACTTTCAAACTTCCCGCCCTCTGCCGTTGCTTAGCAGCCTAGATTTTAGCCCTTGGCGTTTCTGGGTTTTGATTGACGTTGGGTGGAGCCTGAGAGAATGTCCTAAACCGACCTGGAGTCTAAATCCGCGGAAGGGGTCTAGGGGAGTTAGGCCGGAGAATGGGGAGAGGCCGACCTTAAAGGGCCAGAGGTACTTTTACCCCCCCCCGAAGAATGGAGAGACGCAATATTAATTCAACATGTGCCAACAACTCTAGGTTAATATTTGTACCCTCCGAGTCAATATTTATAAAGAACTTAGACTTGTGCCTGGCAAACAAAGTAACTACATGAGTGTTTTAAATAAATATGTAGAAATAAGGACTCCTATCTCAGTCCTACTTTCCCTGTTTCCTGGGTTCAGCATATGACCACCCCCCACAAAAGAGGGCACTATAGGGCCTAATTTATTATTTCAGCTCCTGAAGAGGAGGTGGAAATATCTGAAAGACACCAAATTCCAAAAGGTATAGACCTAGTAAAAACACTCACACCACTACTGGGCTTTGCCCGGTCCCCTACATGTACACACACACACACGTAAGGGCAGAGCACGTCAGTCGTTTGTTCAGCATCTATTTAGTGCCTTCTCTGGGGCAGTTGATGGACTCCCAGCAGTGAACATAATGAAGTCTCTGATCTCTGAAGCTTATTTTTTACTGTATTTAGAAGACAGGGAAGACAGGAGGTTGTGAGAGACAAAGAAACACATATATAGTATTTTTTTAATTCCTTCACTAGTGGGGTGTGGTGGTTCACACCCATAATCTCAGCTACTTCAGAGGCTGAGGTCCGACAATTTCAAGTTCAAGCATAGCCTAGATAATTTAGTAAAACACTTTTTCAAAAAAATAAAAACAAAAACAAAAAAGGGCTAGGTTGTAGCTCAGTGCAAGGGTCTTGGGTCCTATCTCCAGTATACACACACACACACACACACACACACACACCTTAAATATGTCTTCCTCCTCAGCTTTGTTCTTGGTACCCAGAGACTGGAAGATGGGAAGCCCTGCCCAGGAGACTGGAAAAGACGGTGTGCAGGCACTGGCCTTGCTGACCAGTGATTGGAAAGTCCCCTGCACTGAGAAAGGCAGAGGAGCAGAGTTAAGAGCTGAGTTAATGGTTACCCTTGACAAAATGTTAAGCGATGAAGCTATGGCAACCTGGAAGGAGCTGGTGACAGCTCCGGGGTGTGGCAGGTAGGAACTTGCCTTCCAGTTTGGGTGTGAAGAGATTAGAGACTGGTTTACCGAGCCAAGGAGGGGTAGATATCAGAGAAGCCTAGAGAAGGAAAAGATAGTGAGATAGGAGATAGGAGAAAAGCAGAGGCCAGGAAAGAAATTGGGGGGAAACTTCTCTGATGCAGGACTTGGGGGTGCAGGCCCTGGCCTCAAATCTGTGAGCTACCCGAATGGTTCCAGGAGAGGACAGCGTTGCCCCTCCCCTAGGAGCTAAGGCAGGATACCTGTAGGCGGCCCTGAGACAAAGTCAATATTGGTGATCCAGCAGCTGTATCTATAAAGCTGTAGAAGAAAACAGGCAGGGCAGAGGCTGCCAAACCTGTTTGAGTTATATTAGGCCCATTTTCCGGAGCTCCCAGAGAGACCTTTGTGGGACAGAGTCTCTAGTGGACACGGATGGGGAAGTAGGGCAGCTTTGACCACCTCCCAGTAACAACAAGGGGTCCTATGTGCAGGCTTTGAGGGCCACCATGGAGGGGATTCACACACACACACACACACACACACAGAATCATTCTACATCCTTATAGAATGTTGCGATGCAAGTGAGCAAATCCCAAATATACCCTGTCTTTCTGGGGAGGAGAGAAATAAACCTTTCCACAGGGAGGAGATGTCCCACAGAAGAGGAAGCACCAGAGGAAACCACCAACTGCTTGCTGGTTTCTAGCAGTGCATGTCGTGCTCCACCCCACTCTTTCCCCAAGCTTTTTTTTTTTTTTTTGGTCTCACTATGTAGTCGAGACGACTCCACCCGGAACTCACTAGGTTGCCCAGGCTGGTCTTGAACTCACAACGATCCTCCTGCCTCAGCCTCCCATGTGCTGGGATTACAGACGTGAGCCCAAGCTCTCTTTTAAGTTCCAAGCCCCGTTTTGCTTCTGTGTCCTTACAGTCCACTGTGTTTTTCTGGAATTGCAGGCCTTTTGTAGGACAGAGGGTGGTGAGGAGGAAACAGAAGGGATGGTTGGACTGGAGAGAAATCCAGATGTGGAGACTGGAATGTGTGTACTGCTTGGGCTTTTTCAGTAAATCTTAGTTTGGTAGCACCTCCCAAATCAAAGCTGAGAGAAGAGAGCTACGTCTCTTCTGTCCTCCCCCTTTACCTAGGCAGATGTCCCCCAGGAACCCACTCACACTTCTGTCTGACCTTTGCTTGGTCCTGTGATAGGAACAGCCCCCACCCCCAGCAGCGAGCTCTATCCCCACAGTGATAACTCTAGCCCAGGGCTCCATCTCCAAGGCAACCTACCAGCCACAACAGAACAAGAGGCACTGGAAGGGGCCCAGGATGGGGGCAGAAGCGGAAGCATTACAGCTGGTCCGGAGAGGGCTGCCCTGCCGAAGTCCGAAGATAGCCTTCCTGTTTCCCTAGTACCAGGCCTCCCATCCCCTTCCTATCCCAGCACCGCTGTTCACCACCACCCACCCATCCCAGCTTCCATTTCCAAGTGCTCCCAACCAGAATCCCCGCAACCCATTTTTATTTTTGTGTGGGGGATATGCTGGGAACTGAGGAACCCAGAGCCTTGCACAAACTGGGCTACATCCTGAGCCCCTTTGGTCTCATTTTGAAACAGGGTCTTGCTGAGCTGCCCAGGATAGCCTTGAACTCTCTCCCACCTCAGCCTGCAGAGTATCAACCCAGAATTTGGACTGGACTCTCGAAGGAATGCAGAGATTTCCATTGTGCATCTTCACGGGTGTGCCCCAACGATAGTGTCACGTTTCTTGTGTGTGGAGGGGGTGGGCAACCCTTCCGATTAATGAAGCAGGGAAACTGAGGCCGGAAAAAGCATTTTGGCCAGAGAGACAAGGCTCCCCGCGCTCCCCCCACAGGCCCCATCCTGCTTCTCTGGGAGAGGGACCGCCGCTCCCCCGGACCCATTTCCTAGCCCGTCGAGTCTCACCCGCCTCCA